TTTGCGGACAAATGGATAGCAAACTGGACATTTACCGGTTACCAGAAACCCGATACCCGGACCTTTTTTCGACCCGAACCCCGATCCAAAGAAAATTTTGAAAACCCGACCCGACTTTTTTCTCAACCCGTCCCATCCCTGCTGCACACTCTGTTGTGTACATATTGTCTTATCGTAAAGTAAAAATAAAATATATGTACTAATACATATACTCGTTATTACCGATTATCTAACAACTTTTAAGTATAATTAATAAAATATTTTATTCATTTTGTAAATTATTTCCTAATTTTTTTTTGCGATTTTCTGTGGTTTACTTGATAGAAATCTGTCTATTTTTAATCTATTCCTAAGTTCTCTGGTCTTGATCCGGCTATATAAATCAAATATTAATCCCCTCAAAGTCCGTAAATTTTGTCTGCATTATTTGTATTACCTCCTCCTTCCCTCCTTTTCTTTTCATTATTTGTATGTATATATTCTTGCGTGGAAAAATTCAATTCATTTTTAAGGTGATAATTTACTAAAAATTTAAACAAAGCCTTTAACTATTAATTATAAATTTTTTTCTTTTAAATTATACATAATTACATATTAAGAAATTGAAGTCGAAACAAATTTAACACGTTATTTTATAAAATCTTGTCAAGCCCCTCTTTAAATCCCACCCATTCTCAAATTACTAGGTGTACTTTAAGATGCTAAGTTTTTCAACCTATCTATTGAAATAAGGAAGGTCATTTAAGCGCCACACTTTTACCTCATTGTAAGAGACAATCTTTTTCAGTCTAAGGCGTATTTCAATTTCGTTTACTAGTGGTCTAACTGTAATTTTGAGAGGTATAGCTGTTTAAACTGAAAAGAGTTGACCACAAAATTGGGGAATTATCTAGGTTACACCAAGTCTAGTCTGTTGTATTTTAATTTATTTTATTAACCGATACCTTCTAGTTAATATACACTAGTGATGCTCGGGTATCCCGATCCCGACTCACGACTCGGGAAAATTTCCCGAGTTTTTGGCCTCCCGATCCCGACTCCCGGTGTCAATTCCCGACTAAGTCGGGAAATTTTTACACCCCTAAGAATGGATTTTTCTGACAAAATTATATTTTCATTTAGAAAAAATGAAGAAATCTGGCCTCTTGGTCTTCTAAAATTCCCAAAATTTTCGCCTGCAGCGCTAAAAAGCGAAGATTTTTGGCTTAAGGATCTTCCAAAATCCTCAAAATTTTCGCCTGCGGCGCTGAAAATTGAAGAATCTGTAGAGTTGTAGTATAGAAGATTTCGGTGATTTACTAGGATTATGGTGAATAAGCCAACAGGCTGTTGGCTTATCTTACCAAATAATCGGGGAAATAAACCCTTAAGTTACCCTTAAAGATCGTTCAAGACCCCTTTCTATTTCACTCCAATGAGAGTCAAAATTTTTGGCTGCGGCGCAAAAAATGGAAGAAATCTAACTTATTGACCTAGAAATTCTCAAAATTTTAAGGCTTCTTTACCTTCCAAAATTTTCAATATTTTTGCCTATGGTGCAAAAAATCGGAATTTTTGGCGCCGAAGGCGCCAAAAATTTTTGGAAAATTTTTTTATTGCTAATTCCCGACTCCCGACCCGACTCCCGTTTCCCGATTCCCGGGTTTTTTCTTCTCCCGAGCATCACTAATATACACCTTATTATGTTAGTCAATCCTTTCAGAACAAGGGCGTGTCTATTATAGTCATGCCCACGATTAAAATTTTTCTAAAATTTAGTATAATTTTATATAATGGAATATATTTTGTGGAATCAAAAAGAATTTGACATTATTTATAATTGTACAGGAATTAATGTAGATGATGTTCCTATAGAAAAAAGAAGATATCCAATAGCTGCAATTATTTGTATAATACTTGGATTTATATATTATGTACTAAATTTCTTCAAATTTTTTTGAAATTTAAATTTAAGCCTTTATATTTCCCTTGTCTCTACTCTTTTTGGAAGAATAGAAACAAAAATCCTTGCTATTTACTGCTAATCTATCTTTCAATTTTGGACATTGGATTTCTTTGGGCACCAACATTTGCAATCGGAATTCTTAGTTTAAACGGGGTTGTCTATTGTTCTTCACCAATATTTACCTACTTTGTTGGGTGTGCTGGTCTATGTAAGTGTTGAAATATAAGAGTTAATAAGAGATTAATTAACCAGACAAATACACTAAACATCAAAAAGTTCGGATATCCGGTCTGAAACCGATATACATATGTATTAGAGCAGTGAAGATTATCTGTTGACATAGAGTGTCTCTGGAATAATTTTCATGGGAGGCAACACCACTATAGTGTAGTGTTGCGTCGGAACGCAAATTTGGCCGGAACCTTATCTAATTTTTTGGTTCGGGTCAGGAACTTCCGGAGCAATTCCGCTATAGTGAAAATCAGGCAGATTCGATAATTTGGATTCCAAGAAAACAAATTTTTCACAGCATTTAGGGTTAACGTGACTTTTTTCTCAGTCTTCTCTAAAAATTTTTAATTTTAGGAAGTTTGAGATAAACAATAAGAAAATATTCTATATAAAATTGAGACGCAGTAATAATGGCCAAGAATTCTGGCCTTGAGATTATACGTACACTCCGTTTAGAAAGTATAAGCACCCCCAAATTTTTGTAAAAAATTCACAATTACTAACCATTAAATGTTTTATTTTTTTCCTACACTAACAACTGTCATAAGCTTCAATAAAAATAAATTTTCATAAATTTTTATCGATTTAAAAATTTTAAATTGAATTTTCTCGAAGTTACGGTGTTAAGAAAGTATAAGCACCCCAGTAAAAATTGGTGATATTGAGTTTGAAAAGAGGATATAGAAAGATTTCCGAATATCCGCTATATACTAGGAAGGGACGAGTCGAAAAAGTTTGGTTATAGAGTTTTGGGTAACCGGACCGTCCATGAAATTTCCGTGAATTTTGGCAAGTTGACGGCTCTGACATTGGGATTACCGTATTTATTCTAATAGAGTGGCCGCCACTCTATTTTTCGATACCCCCAAAAAGGGGCCATTCTATTGGAGGGGCCATTCTAATGGAGGTGGCCATTCTATTTTTCATAGGTAAAAATCAGAGATAGGATGAATCAAATGTTCGATCGAATATTTTTTGACTTCGAAATTTAAAAGATTTTTCGTGTAAAATTCTATATTTTCGACTTTGGTTAGTGAATCTTTCTTTTCGTAACACTATAAAACATAAAAATCTTTTGCCTGCTGGGCAAAAAGGCAACTTTTTATTTACTTTGGTGCCAGACAATCAAAATTTCCGGTATAGTTTGCTCATAAAAGTTCGGGGATCTCGGAATTTGGACGTAATATATGGAAATTGGGAGAGATTTGGAGGAGGACTTCATTAAAGAGATTTGGAGGAGGACTTCATTAATTTAATGAAGAGAGGAGGACTTCATTAAATCGTTGTAATTTCTTGATATCCCTCCTAATCCTCTCAAATCCTCTAATATCCCTCTTAATCTCCCTTTTATGACTCCAGATTTGCTCGAAAATATTATGATTATCCTTACTAAAGAGTAATATTTAATACATAATAGGAAAATAAAGAAATGTATTCAGGCATATACTTATTAGTTAAAAGGGCCATTCTATTAGAGGGCCATTCTAATGGAGGTGGCCATTCTATTTTTCGATACCCCCAAAAAGGGGCCATTCTATTGGAGGGGCCATTCTAATGGAGGGGCCATTTTATTAGAATAAATACGGTATATTTATTTATCAATATTATAATATTTAGATTTATGGGCCGCTGAATGTTCTGCTGATTTGGTATCATAAATATATAAAAATTAATATTATACGTATATTTTTCCAGATTTTGGGTATAAATCGTTGTATCGAAATGGCATTTCCAAAAATTTCAAAAAAACTTTTTCACAATAATCGTGTCTATATTTGGATTATTTTAAGTAATTTGTATGGACTTTATTGGCTTTTATTTCGACATCCTTATATTTTTAATGGAATAACTTTTGACTATATATTTGAACCATTAGTTGGATATAGAGATTTCAGACTTGAATTAGTAATCTAGTATTAGTTGATTTTATTTAAAATATTTATACATAGTTCAAAGAAGATTTGAGAGAATTTTCCATACACTGCATAATATTGGCTGTTGCTTCTCCTATAATTTATTTGATTTTTTCTCTGACGGTTTTCTTCAAATCCCGTGAATTAATTGATAGTGTTTCTAAAGAGGAGAAAATGGTTAAAATTTTACTATACCTCACTTTTAAATAATAGGATTGTCACTACCAGAAATCCGTGCTTGTACGATTTTTTGCTTGACTACCAAGCAGAGGTCGTCGGAATTCCGATTTCCGACATTTTTTGAGCAAATTTCTGATTAGAGATTTTGTCTAAATTTACAAAATTTTTGCATGCGGCGCTGAAAATATAAGAAATATGGCTGCCTGGTCTTCTAAAATTCTCAATTATTTGCCTGTTGTGAACTTCATACACTGGCAGTCAAATTTAAAAAAATGTACCATATATGTTCAAATAATTACACAGCGTACCGTATAACCTGTATTAATTACCCTCCCTCTAATAATTACACCACTTCCATTAATTACCCCACCCAGCGATAGATTGAAACAATAATTATTATCAAACAAATGCCCTAAAACACTTTCAAATTTTAGACCTCGTATAATTACCCTCCCTCGATTAATTATTCCCTCGATTAATTATTATTCATATACGGCAATTAGTTGTTGCGTAAAAATCGATTTTACGTACCCGTATCTGGATACGTACCCGAACCTACTCACCAGTAATTATTGTTCACCCTAATGCCTGAGGGGTTAAATAACGAGAGGAGTTTATATTTGAGAGAGGCACAGTATCCTAGATAGAGGGGGTTGTATCTAAGTTAGGGGTTGAATAATATATTAAATTAAAATATTTGTAAGGTCTTTATTCAAGTATTTATCATTTCAATGTTCAATACATCAGCAGGTATTGCCTTTGCTTACAATATGAATCATCCTGATCCTGGAATGTTGCAGTTAATGATACAACATTTTTCTTGGTAAATAAATTATTTTGTTTTTATATAATTTTTGTTTAATTTTTAAGGTTACATATTCACGGTATGTTAATCAAAAATAAATTTTGTTATTCAAAAAGTTGACCCTATTACCCCATCTGCGAGATTTTCCACATTTGCCCCCTTTTCTACATGCTCCTGTTGGTGATTTGGAAAGGGTCACTCACCCTGATCATAAAATAAATTTAAATATTTTTTAAATTTTTTAAAGGTTTTCCACCAGTAATTTACTTAACACTAAACAAAACTGTTCGGACTGACACAAAAATTCTACTTGGAAAATTTTTTGGTTTATTAAAGAAAAATCAAAATCAAGTTGCAAATATTGTTGGACTTGCCCAAATTGGTTAAAGTAAATATGTTGTGTATCAAGGGTGTACCCAATGAGATCTTAAAAACGAAATATGAAATACAAAACATCAAGAATGCGAAGCTCTTTATTACCGATTATCTAACAACTTTTAAGTATAATTAATAAAATATCATGCAATTCATCATGCAAAATATTTCCTTTTTTTGTATAAAAAGCTAGAAGATAAAAAGCTCCCCCAACAAATGGCTAATGGGACAATAATTTGTGGTCCCACATAATTATATGAAACATATATGTCTTTAGTGGCCCATTAACATTCTTAAAATTAAATAGTCAATAAAATAATAAAGTTTTTTGAGATTTTTTTGGAAATTAAAATGTTTCGTTTCGTTTTGTTTCGTTAAATTTTGACAGTTTCGTTTCGTTAGCGAAACGAATTTAAAAATTTTTGCTTCGTTTCGTTTCGTTCGAAAAATATTTGGAGTTTCGCCCATGGTCTGATTGAAACGTATGTATGAGAAGAAAATAAAAATTTAAAAGTTAAAAAAAATTTTTTTTAGTAAATCCCGATCCCGATTTAAATCCCGATACCGGCCAACTCTATTTTCTACATGATATTGAGTTTTAAAATAAGCCAGTAAATTTTAGAAATTTTAAGAAACCCAATATAGGTAAAATATTTTACTTTTTTGGCGTTAAAAAACTTGCCAAACTCTTATAAATTTAGATATTTAAAATGAGGATAAGTTAAAAGTTTTTACTAAAAAATCATTTATACAGTCTCAATTAGTGTTATTCACGGTACGGTATTACCGCGGTATTTTTCGGTAATACCGCGGTATTTTTACCAAAATACCGATACCTAAACCGATACCGCACAGTTTTTAAAAAATCGGTATTTTTTCGGTATCGGTATTTTACCGAAATACCGATACCGCCTCAATCAAAATACCGCGGTATTTTTCGGTATTTCGGTATTTTCCAGGTAGAGATTTTACGGAGCAGTTCAACTGAGTCCCGGCTCAATTGAGTCCCGGCCCTATAACTCAAGTTCGGCTTGATAATTTTTAATGTTTTTGGTACCATTTGATAGAGCATCAGATGGACTACAATATACCAAAAAATCAAAATTTTCTATTGATTGGTAGAAAAGTTATGATCTCTAAACTAACTTTTTCAAAAAAATCTGATTTTTCGGCACTTTATCGATCATATCTTTTTTACCAGTCGGTCAGGAATTTTGATTTTTTGGTATATTGTAGCCTATTTAATGCCCTATCCAATGGTACCAAAAGCAAAAATAAAGTACCATCCCTTCATAAGTTATAGGGTCCGGGACTCAGTTGAGTCGGGACTCAATTGAGGTGTACCGGAGATTTTATGTTCAATATATACATAATTTAAATATGGCGTTATGTTTATATTTCCAAACATTTTCGTTTGGATTTTAAATAGTGACCGGCAAAATCGATTTTTCCGGACCCGGATTCCAGATTTGCAACTTGAACCGGACCGGATCCGGCAATATTTTTTCGGATTAATCGGTCCGGTTCAGGGGTGGGCGCATTGCGTTAACCAAACACTTCCATTGATTCATTACAAATACTAAATTCATTATTTATTCACTATTTATAAATTTATTTTACATTTATTGTATTAAATTTTCTCATCTGGTAAATTTTCAAAAAATACCGAAATACCGTGTAATACCGACTATTTTTCGTCGGTATTTTTCGGTATCGGTATTTTACCGAAATACCGATACCGAAAAATTGCGTTTGAATAACACTAATATGTAGTCTTCCAAAAATTTCAAAATTTTCGCCTGCGGCGATAAAATTAGAGAAAAACTTTTCGGGAAAACTCGATAAGAGGATATAGTGTAGTTCACCGGAGGTAAAAGTTCGGGACGAGACATATTTTATTCGATTCGTCTCGGCGAGCTGAGCCGAACAGTACCACTCCCAGTTTCAGGAAATGATTCTGGACCGAGTTATAGGTCCCGAAAAATCGAAAAACCAAAGGGGGGACCAAGCACTTTTTTGGGGTGAAAAATTCGAATATGCAAATTATACCTCATTCGAAAGAGCTCGGCGAGTTGAGTCGAATGACACCAAAATCACAGTGATTGAACAAGATTAGACAAAGTTATGATACAAAAAACAAAAACCTAAACCTATGGAGCGTCGGCGAGGCGCTTGTGCAAAACTCCGCGCTTCGCGCGGAGTTTTGCGGCACGCGCCTCGCGGGGAGTCTACGGGCGCTGGGTCTGGGCTCGTAACATAAACCTATTCCTATCTCCCTTGCTCTGGACGCATTTGTGGCCTCTGTAGCAGCAAAAATCTCCACAGATGCCATAGGTAAGGAGCTAAAACAAATGGTCATAACTTTCTCAAATCAAGTCAGATTTCGTTGATTCTGGTGTCATTCGACTCAGCTCGACGAGCTCTTTCTAATGAGGTATAATTTGCATATTCGAATTTTTCACTCCAAAAAAGTGCTTGGTCCCCCCTTTGGTTTTTCGATTTTTCGGGACCTATAACTCGGTCCAGAATCATTTCCTGAAACTGGGAGTGGTACCGTTCGACTCAGCTCGCCGAGACGAATCGAATGACATATGTCTCGTCCCGAACTTTTACCTCCGGTGAACTACACTACAGCCCGATAAGATTCGATTGAGTGACCAATAATGTTTATAAATAACCTATAATATTTCAAATTGTAAAGTTTAAATAAGAAATAATTAATTTAATAATATTGAGAGGATGATAAATAGGGACCGAATTTTTAGGTTTAAAAACCTTAAAATAGGTACCTAAATAGGTTGTAAAAAATATCAAAATAGGTTGTAAAAAATTCCAAAATAGGTGACAAAAATGAAAAATAGGTTGCAAAAAAAGGTCGTCATATGGGGCAATAAATGCAAAAATGCTGAATATTTTCTATTTTCCGTTCATAAATTTTATTATTATAATAGAATTGTAAAAAATTCCCAGGTTTTTAAAATTTTCATTTGAATACATATTAATTATGAATTTTTTTTTGAATTTTGAAAAAATATTTTTTTCCAAAAATTGTAAAGAAATTTTGAATGATGAGAAAAATTGACAAAATTTTTAAAAAATTGCAAATTTTTTAAAAATTTAAAAAAAAATTTTTTTTTAATTTCAAATTTTTTAAAAATTTTGAAAATTAGTGTTAAAAAATTGAATTTTTACGAAAAACAACCAAAATAGGTTTTAATAGGTCATAATAAGTCCGCGTAAACGTAAGATATCAAAAAAGAACAACGGATTCGAGCTCAATTCATCATAACTATTTCGCAGAAAAAATAAGTTATAACCTAAAAATCCGGTCCCTAATGATAATAATAAATAAGATATTTGGTTTGAGGAATTTTTAAAATAAGGTTGGGTAATGTAAATGTTTGATTATTGCTTTGGATATTTTATTTTAAAAATATTTTATGATCAAAATTTTATCAAGATTTTTTGGTCACTTTTGGATGAAATATGATTTATAATAATTTAAATAATAAAGCTAGAAAACTTTGACTGAAAGCAGAAATATGAATCAAAGTATGGAGACATTTATTGATATCTGTTCTATTGTGTTTTGTTTAAATTACATAAATTTTATTTCTTACCTATCCGCTAAAATTATCAAAGCAGCTATTAGTTAATAAAGTCCTTTACTAGCTAAATAATTAAATAAATAGATAAAATATATTTCTTAATTGATCAATGTCATGTATATTATTGATTTAAAGATACTTTTATATAGTACATTAATTAAGAAATATTTTTAAAATTAATGTTTAGAGTTTTGTTATTAAGTTGTATATATTGATAATCTACCAAACGGAAATTTATTAAACATTAAAAATAGCAAATAGTAAAATTAGAAAAACAAATAGAATTTAAAGAAGGCGCATATACCGTATTTCCTGAAATAGTACTCCCCCCTGAATTAGCACTCCCCCCTTAAATAGTACACCCCTTTGGAGGAGGGTTGAAAAATAGTACTCCCCCCTGAATTAGTACTCCCCCTAAAATAGTACTCCCCCCAAAAATATTTTTCCCCTATATTTGAAAAAATAATAAGAGACATTGAATTATTTTATTTATTTTAAGTAGCGTTGTCGGTTTCACTTGATTCTTTGATAAACAAAACCTGAGAGCTTTCGGTTAACTGAAAACGAACCGAAATTTTAAACTAAAATTTTTAGAGGATTAAAGAGATATAATCCGATCTATCGATATCTATCGATATCCCCCTTAATCGCTTAAAATCCCCTTATATCCCTCGATATCACTCCAAATTCACTTATATCCTTCTTGATTTCCCTCAATAACCCGTATTTTAAGTCAATTGTGTTTAATTGTCTCGCAATTTGCTCAGTTTTATACTAATTCGGATATTTTTTACAACTTTTATTAAAGAAATTTTATGAAAATCAGGGTCCGGATCCGGCATTTTTCAAATAGCGAACTCTAATCGAATTTATTTTAAGATAAATTGAAATAAATTAAAATATTTTTTTTTAATTTTAAAATAAATTTTCCTATAAAAAATCATGGAGGATGGTTGAAAAATAGTACTCCCCCCTGAATTAGCACTCCCCCCTTAAATAGTACTCCCCTTTGGAGGAAGGTTGAAAAATAGTACTCCCGGGAGTACTATTTTAGGAAATACGGTAATCTAAAAGAAATTATTAAATTTCCGTTGGAGCAAATTAATGAAGAAATTTTAAATATTAATGCTTTTAAAT